GCATATAGTCCAGTCACTGATGCCATAAAACAGGCAAACTTAGGAAATCCTCAAAAACAACTCCGACTTTGTTTTATTTTTTACCATCTGTTTTTTTATTATTATTTGAAATTAGAAATATTTCAGAAGGGGTTGATATTTTCTTATTGTTTAATCACTGTGTATGCTATTTATATAATGAAATCAGTTTTTAGTGGTTTTCTTTGAAAAAGACTGCATGTATAAATTTTCGTAACTAGAACTAGAATTACAAGTACAATACAAACTTTAATTATTTTTATTATTAAATCACTTGTCGCCTCTAATATTTTAGTATGGTCATTACGACCAGGAACTAGGTTTCATTAAAATCCCCAAAAACAATTTTAACTATCAATTAATGTATATGGCTAATGTACTCGTTTACGAAGCCAATGAATCATAAATAAAAAAAATCTATCAATTACAAAGAAACGACTCGACCGATCGTTGCCAAAAACTCCCAAAGTCCCCAAAATCAAATTACATAAATAGTTTTGTAATTGTCAAAATCGCTTCAGAAATTGTTACGAAAACGTGGACGAAAATTTTTGCACTTTTCGACTGATTCTAAAGAAACGGCTCGGCTGATCGTTTTGAAAAACTTACTTCATGGAGTGGTTTTTAAATTTTTGAAAATAAAATAATCACTACTGCTTGATATAAAGCAGTCACAAACGATTCAGAATGACTTAAAACGTCGAGAGAACAAATTCAGCAAGTCGGATTTTTTAGTAAAAACAAACTTGTGAAATATTATTTAGAACATTGTGACATAAAACATGAAAATTATATATAAAAACAGAATAGATTAAGATGTAAAATAAAAATAATGTAAATGGCTAAATGCTCTATTGAGGCCAATAGAAAAATTTAACATGGAAATGTTTTTTGTCTATATTTTTAGGTTTATTACATTTACCAAATAATATTTTTTCGCACAATGATCATCCGGTGAAAGTAATGATGCAACAGTCGAACAAAATTTCTATAATCATTCATAGTACAGGTGTTGCAAAATTATTTGAAAGAGAGAGTAAAACTTTTTACTTTTAGCATCATTTATTCCAAAAGTGCGAAATGATAAGGCATATAAATTTATAAGGTAAATCAATCGTCAATCAATCTTGCACACCTATAAATTGGCATATTTCTCTCCTATAAAATTAAAAAAAAAAAATATAAGGATTTCGTAAGAAATTGAAAATTTTAGTGCGTAAAAACTATGACCTGTTAGATCCATAAAGTTGATTAATTAATTATGGCCATTTTTTTACTTAAAAATCTTAAGACAACAGATAAATTTGAAGTATTACGACCTACTCACATTACTTATGTTTATAACAAAACCATATGAATTTAACATGGCAAAAAAATTTTAAAGTCGAAGTATGCAATAAACTAAAACGTATTAATTAATCGATTATTGATAAATGTAATAATAAAAATTAATAAGAAGTTCGTTTCTAAATTTAGAAGTTCACGAGTTGTTAGTATAAATAGAATTAAAGTTTAGGTAAATATTTATAAATCGAGAGCTATTTTGAACACCTAGTTAAAATTGAAGAATACAATACGAACGCCGTTAAATAATGATATAAGTGTTTGATTTATATTGATAAGTAATCGGATTTTAGTAAATACACTTATAACGTATTCCACAAAATTCTGAAGTTTGCAAAAACCTAAACTAATATTTTTTTAAGTCTACGAAGAGACAAAATAATAATAATTAATAATAAGATAAACGCATATACATAATTCGATAGCTATTTTGAGTGTAAAAATAATTTAAGTCTAAGAAGTGATTAATTTTAATGGACTATTATAAATAAATTTTTCCAAAATTCGAAATTGCAGTCAATTTTATGGTTGAGATAATCAGATAATCATTAATCAAGAAATCAATCTAATTAGAGAAATATAATTAAAAATAAATATTTAGTTGTTATAATTGATTTTGCCGCGAATATTTGACAAGAATTAAAATTTTGGTTTGTTGGTTTTGTAACCACAAGTTCCACGTTCGATACCCGCTTTGGCCAACTCGATATCAAGCAGTAGTGATTATTTTCTACTGTGAATTATAGATCTTAAATACGGTTTAAGTAAAAATATCCCATCAGTGCCATCATTATTAGAAATCAAATTTAATAATCAAAAAGAGTGGCCAACCACTGGGTTGGCTTTTACTGAGTTAAGTAATTACACTACAACAGCTCAAGCATAATTTTGATTTCTGTTCAATTATTCAAAATTTATCTAATCGATCGATTTTAATAAACAAATATTGTCTGAGACCCAAGGAAAAAACCCAAATACGCACTTCCTACGTAGTCAGCATAAATAATTTTGCTGAAATGACATATTTCCCAATGGTTATTGGAATTCCTCTCTTGGAATGTGCTAAACGCAAAAATATGTACGTCATAATATGCGTTGATGTATTTTTCTGACACAAACCATTAATTATTATTTTGCGCATTAAACTTTTACTTTAATTGCTGTGGAACAAAATACTATAATTCCACTGACGTAAAACTAATTTATAGAAAACTCGTTATATTCTATTGTAATCACAAGTCCCGGGAATAATATATGTTATATCAAGCAGTAGTGATATCAAAATAAAGGACATAAAATTATAGCACTTTTTGATTTTAGAAAAACATGTGAACACCTATGATAAGCTAAGACATATCTAGATAAATCAAGTAACACACACACATTTATATATATATATATATATATATATATATATTAGGGTGGTCCTTAATATGGATATTTTCGAATTTCTTTGCTCCCATGGACTCAAATGCTTCCAAATTATTTAAAAAAAAATTCTCTGAAAGTTTTAGCTCTTAACGTTAACTTCAAGATAGTGCGCACTCCAATCAAAGTTTCTTGGTTCTTCTTCCTAAGTAAATACTTATTTTATAGAGTATATAAAATTTTTATTGTAATGTTTTTATTTAAGATCAAAATAAGCAAATACAATGTTATTCTCAAAATTTTGATTCACTTGTCGCTAAGTTATAAAATTCTAAAAAACAAATGAGATTTTACCCATGTTATTTACATAAGAAACTTTGGTTGGAGTGCTGACTATCTTAAAGTTAATATTAAGAGCTGAAACTTTCATAGAATTTTTTATCATTTTGAAAGCATTTGAGCCCCTGGGAGCAAAAAAATCGAAAATATCCATATTAAGGACTACCCTAATACATTAATATATAATATATAATAGTCCCTAATATATAATAATATAAATTGGAAATAAAATTACATATAAATATAATTGAGCCTCAATTATTGAGGGAATCATTCAAGAATATGAAATCAATTACTCCCATAGAAAACTATGAAAACCTTCAACGATATTTTCTATTAAATTGCGCAAAGCCTTGACTACAAGTATGAACATAAATAAACGCTGCATTTTCCTTCAAAATACAAAAAATAATATTATCTAATTCTTATCTTTTCCATATTCATTTATATATTTGTAGTTAAGTAGATGCCATACGTCACCAATTCATGGTATTGACGCACGTCATATGACCAATCAATAAAAACCCATAAAACTCTTTCTATGACGACTCTCCGATGAATAAAACTATTGTTACATATTTCAATATCCACGTCCAAATCCCAAATAATAATCATAAATACCATTACTGCATTCGAGCAGCTTATTTTATTATTTGAATTAGGCCTGTCCCGTGCTACTACATTTATTATATTCAATTTCTAAATCTATATTCCGGACGTGTCCGACGATTAAAACCGTGACTTATAAAAATACAATTCGCTCCAGGGGTTTTATATATTAATATTAACGTACAATATTTGTTCGATGGTAATTTATAATAATAAAAGTTTATTTATTGCGTTCTTGACCCGCGCGTGAGTGAATGTGCAATTCGAATTTGATGGGAATACATTACGGGGATTTTTTTTTTTCAAACAATAAGTCTATAAAATAATGAATATTTCTAATTTGGCTAAGAGGCCTAGAGCTAGTTATTGAAGTCAACAAAAAAAATGACATGATTTTTATGACATCTACGTTTCAGGCCCTTTGATCATTTGTCATACCTTCAAAAACAAAAAAAAACTTTACCGTCATACAAAGGTTAATTAAAATCTTCGAAAAAATTTTAACAATCAGTTACAAAAACAACCTGGCCGATCTTTACCAATAACTAATCAGCACGATTTCCAACTGATATCTTTCAGTTTTCAAATTTTCAAAATCAATGCAGGATTTTTGCCGAAAACGTAAACAAATTCTTTTCCTAATTATAAAAAAACAACTCTTTCGATCGTCAAAACTAATCAACATGAGCCCTAGACATCAAATGTCGGCTAAAGGTCAAATTTTGGCTCACACACACTTTTTTCAAATTTGGTAATAAATGATTCAGAAGGACTTGAAAAAACATAAAATTAGCAAATAGGATTTTCTGGCTAAAACGAACATCTTAATCGGAAAGTTGATAAAGGGGAGCCCATCATTTTTTTTTAGGATTTTTGAACCACCCCCACCCCCACCCCTTGGTGATACGTCGTGATATTTAAAATTAAACTCCCACCTCCACCACCATATTTTAGTTATGAAAAATTATTGAAAAAAATTTGGATTTACAAAAAAAATTGTTGATTTTTGTTTTGGAAATTCAGGTAAAAAATAAATACACGTGATATCTTACTAGACACCTGCCTTCCCTACGTGATTTTTTGTCAAAACCACCCCCCTCCCCCAAAAAACCTAACGTGATTAATGGACGCCTCCTAAATATAAGGAATCGGAAAGTTGATATAGCCATATATATATATATAACACTGCCACTTTTTTTGACAATCTAAAACATAACTCACACCAGTAGTTCATTCAATTTATATTAGTCTGCAGAAAATTTTGGGTCTTTTAACAATATTTTTTCAAACAATATTGTCAACTTCTGTGATTTTTTTCTTAGGACACGGCATTCACAATCCCGGAACGCCAGCAACTCGGCATTCATGGCATGATAGCGCCGGTGGTGCAGACGCAGGATCAACAAATTGCGGTCTGCAAAGCATTGATTGACCGATGTCCCACCGACTTGGATAAGGCTCTCTACTTACTCAATCTCCTGGACCAAAATCAGCGTTTGTTTTTCAAGATTTTAGCTGAAGACATTGAACGATACATGCCGTTAGTTTACACGCCGACGGTTGGTGCAACATGTATGAATTACGCGCTTGCCTATCGCAGGGGACGCGGCATGTACATCAGCATCCAGGATAAAGGATATATCATACAGATCTTGAGAAATTGGTATGATTGATATAATCATTACTCTTGTATATCTATTACTTTATAATTATCCTTTATCTACCTATTATTCTTTCTCCAGGCCTGAAACCGATGTGCGTGCAATTTGTGTAACAGACGGTGAACGTATCCTGGGACTTGGTGATTTAGGTGCTTATGGAATGGGAATACCAGTTGGAAAATTAGCCCTTTACACAGCACTTGGAGGTGTCAAACCTTACCAATGCTTGCCCATTACCTTAGGTAAAGCTATTACAATTAATTGAATTTATACCCCCAATGATATTAATTATACATGTGCGATTAAATCCTCGACTTCGTTTTTTTAGATGTCGGAACAAATACCGAAAAGTTGTTACAAGATCCTTTATATATTGGGCTTCGTCAGAAACGTGTTACTGGTGCTGAGTATGATGAATTTATTGAAGAATTTATGCAGGCTACTGTTCAGAGATTTGGTCGCAACTGTCTGATACAGGTTAGCAAGCAGCAAGTTTTTTCTTTATCATCTGCAACCTCCTATTTCCTTTTCGTTCCGAAATCATATCCATCCAAAATTTGAAACCAAAATGTCCAACCAAAAATATGCTAATTTAATATAATTATTTGTTAATGCAGTTCGAAGATTTTGGCAATTCTAACGCTTTCCGCCTGCTGGAAAAGTATAAAAACAATTATTGCACATTCAATGATGACATTCAAGGCACAGCCAGTGTAGCTCTATCAGGACTTCTATCCTGTATGCGCATCACCAAAAATAAACTGACCGACCACCGCATATTGTTCCAAGGAGCCGGAGAGGTAAAAATTTAGTAATATAAATACAATACAAACATTTAATTTAATGAATAATTCAACATTCCAGGCTGCATTAGGAATAGCAGATTTGTGCGTGATGACAATGACACGCGAGGGTCTATCTCTAGAGGAAGCCAGAGAGAGAATATTTTTGGTAGACTCCAAAGGACTTGTTGTACTCAATCGACCAGCTGGCGGTGTTAATAAATTGAAAGAAGTTTATGCCAAAAATTTTCCACCAACCGACAGTCTTGTGGAAGCTGTCAAAGTTGTAAAACCAACTGCTATAATTGGTTAGTATTTTTCCAGTTACATTTATTATCCGTATTAGAATTGTTTTAACTTTGGTGATTTCTAGGAGTGTCTGCAATTGGTGGCGCGTTTAATGCAGAAATTTTACGACTGATGGGATGCAATAATGAACGGCCGATTATTTTTGCGCTTTCCAATCCAACACATAAGGCCGAATGTACGGCAGAAGACGCTTACACCCACACAGAGGTGATAATTAAAGAAAAAAAAAAAGGATTATGTCTCATACTATTGTTAGAATTTCCAATGCAGTCTTAAAATGGTTTACTTTCAGGGTCGCTGCATATTTGCTTCTGGTTCACCATTCCCTCCATTCGAGTTGAATGGTCGCACTCACATGACCGGACAAGGTAATAACGCGTATATCTTCCCTGGAATTGGACTGGGTGTAGTCGCCTTTGGTATACATACGATAGATGATGAAATATTCCTTATTGCCGCTGAGGTAATTTCATCCCATCGTAATGCTCAAATCATCTTTTGAATTAAAACAAATATTATGGTGTTTTTTTCACAACAGGCCTTGTCTGAATTGGTAACGGAAGAAGTTTTAGAAACTGGTTCGGTATATCCACCTTTGACGAGAATTCGGGAGTGCTCTTTACGCATTGCTGTAGCCATAGCTGAACATGCATATAAAAAAGGTAGTTTCTACAAAGATCTTTCATTTTAATAAAGATTTAATTGATTAAGTAATATCACAATTATTGCAGGAACCGCTACCGTTATACCCGAGCCCGAGGATAAGGAGATGTTCTTGAAAGAACAAATGTATAATCCCGAATATACACCATCAATCTTGCCTTCTTACGAATGGTCAGCGTAATAATACAAACACAACTTACTAAAATTTTAATTACTACTTAATGGCAAAAATTACATACTAGATTCTAAAGGTTGTTGCTCCACTGTATATACATCTCATTCAGCTTAACTTTGATGATTTGACCAAGGTGTCTCATCGAAACCGCCTTACTCAGTATTCATTAATTACTTCACAACCATCTGCATGATGATATTTGTCAGGATTGCAAAGTATTCGACTGAAATTTATATCGAATGACAAAGTATTTAATACGAGGAATGATGTTCATAAATATATTTATAAATCGGTGTAGGTTATCTATTTATTTCCATCCATTTGCAACATATAGAATTTGTAAACCATTTATTAATTAGATATTATATTCATTATTGTAAATAAACTAAGAAAAATATAATATTGACTTATTGTGATTTTTAAATGTTTTAAATTGTTTTTATTTTACTATTAACTAGCTGTACCTGCAATTTTTGCTCTCGTTTGACAAATTTAAATTTTTTTGCATTTTCATCTTAATTGCTTTTTTTTCAGGTGTTTGTATTAGCTTTAGGAAAAAAAATTCATATGCACGATTTTCTTGGGCTAATTTCAATATTATAAATAGACACCCCAATTTTATTAACTTCCCGAAGGAGAAGTTTGTTTTCATTAAAGAATCCGATCCGTTAATTTTATGTTTTCTCGACGTTTCAAGCCATTCTGAATCGAATGAGACCAAATTTGGAAAAAGTGTGTGTGTGTGTGTGTGTGTAAACAGATTATATTTATATAATTTTAAGGCTTGAAAAATATATTTGAAATAAACATTCATTATAACTAACATAATTAAATTATCATGCAACAAATTGAACAAAAAATATGAATCCCTTTACTTACTAATGAATTATCTCTCCGTCGAAATGTAATCCATAAATCCAAATCACAATCCCACGAACATTGCTGTATTGTAATATTTACTAATTACCTATAAATAAATAATAAGTACTTAGCAGAATAAACATTTATACTATATACAGAAATACACTATGTACAACAGAACAATTACTCACCTTTTTATATTAAGTCACTTATACAAATAAATTGTGTAATGGGTTCTGCCAAATCAAACTCCCACAAACTGTACTCACACGATTGGTTAATATTACAATCCCACATATTGTAATATTTAGCAATCAGTCCGTCCACCTACAAATAAATTATAAGAAATTAACTAACAACATAAAAATTAATTATTAACTTTATACAAAAAATAATTACTCACTTTTTCATATTGAGGTAAATGTGATTTCGTCCTGCTTCATATTCTTATAAAACAGCATTCTAAATTGATTTTTATTTCATTACATTTGACCTTAAGAACAATTTTTTAGATGAAATATGTATGTTTTAAAATTACTATAAATAACATAACAATTAATTAAAATTAAAATATAAACAAAATAATAATACGAATGATTGATTAACAAGTGGAACAAACAAAATTTTACAATATTGCATAAAAAATAAAAATAAAAATTTAAATTGGCTTTTATATGAATAATGAATGATTTTATATGAGCATGAAATGATCGATGTACATGAGTTCATTTTATTAAATAAAAGCCAAATTTTTCTTTTGGATTTATATTTTTATACTAATTGTAGTAGGCCTCCAGTTTATACATATCTACAATAATGTACAGTAATAATAATCAGTAACAATCCATTATAATTAATAATGCTTAATATTAATATATACATAAAATTAAATACTTCTTAAACAATAAACTGGTGGGCTAGAACAATCATTTAATGATGCATGCACACTTTTTTGTGCATTGCAAATTTCATTGTATCCTAAGACATATCTGTATGATTTCCAACTAATATTTGAAAAAATGATAATATAAAAACAAGCAAATACCAAGACTAAGAATTAATACACAACATGTAATAGAAGCCCAAAATTATAATACAAAATATACAAATAACGAGAACCACAACCATTTTAGACGTATTACATATAATCAGTCAGGGAACTTGCAAGTTTCATTACACATGGAAATCACCTAAATACTATATGTCTTAGTATACAATCTATTTACATAATAAACCAGAATAATTAACTTTTTGCCAATCTGTAACACTAACTGAATGGCTAGTATTATCAAAATGCATATAAAAAAATCCATATCTGATTAGATATTAGTCATTATACGTGCAGTTTTGATAAAGTATTGAATGTTTATATCACATTATTAAATTACTTAATTATTAACAGTTTAATTTGATGGGCAACACTGTGATTAATTGAAAAAAATAATTACATATGATTGGTTCTTTGCCATTCTTAGTATTGACTTATCTGGCATTATTCTGTTTTTCCAAAATCATCCGCTTCTTGGAGTTACTTTTAGATTAATATGTAAAAACTATTACTAACGAAAAGAATTCGAGTATCAAGTTATAATCACTGAGTTTGTTTACAAGAAATGAGTTTTCATTAAATAAATGCCTCAATGTCATTTATGAGTACGATAGAACTATGCTGACAGCATACATAACTTTGTTCCTAAATAGTTGAGAAAATGCCTTAATATTAAATTTGTCAACAATCTATAAAACTTCGATGATCTTTGAAAAGCCCATATGATTTTGAAAACATGTATCTTTTCTTAGAAATATTACAAATCTAAATGGTATAGGAAAAATTATATATTTCTCACTATTCCAAAAATTTCATAAACCTACTATATAAATATTCTATTTACATTTAGATCTCCCATCTAAAAGCTTCTTCCATAAATCAAATTGTTCACTGGATTTGATCATATGTATGCTAATTGCCTTTTGTATATTACAAGGATTAAATGATACACGTTTGTTTAAAAATTCTTTTACATGCACTAATTTTATTCCTAGTGAATGACCAACAATGCCAGTTATAAAAACATCTTCTAACTTAAGATATGTTTGATCTAGAGCTTTTGTGAATAAATCATGTATTAAATCTGAGGTAATCAAATAAGCTGGTCCTGTTGTAAAATCAGGAAATACAGCTGGCATATACTGCTGAGGGGCAACATAATATTTAGATTTCTTATTGCGAATAGGTTTCCACTTTTTTGCTAATCTTCCAAATATTGTTCTTGTATATTTGAAATGACTATCAATAAAACTAAGTAGTTTGGAAACATTTATGAACATATCATCATCTGTCTTAAGTACAAAATTCACTTTCGGACAATACGTATCAGTCCATTCTAACATAGATATCGTTTTCAATGTTAAATTATTATAACTGTCTATAAAACGTCCTCTTATAATATCACCATACATGTAAGACTCGGCTGAAATAGATTCTTCCAAGTCTTTGTTCAGTGTGGTCCCAAGAAAAAATCCCAAAGTGACATCTCTTCTTGTTCCATAATGACCCCAAGTTTGTCTTATAGCAACTCGTGCATCTTTATTACCTGGTGCTGACATTATTAGAATGAGCAATTTAACTTTGTTCCCCATGTCTGGACAGAGCAGGGGATTGGGCAGAGAATGACCCATTTCATAAATTCCATGTGCCATGATCGCTGACGAGTCAGCAATTATAGATACCACATTACCTGAAAAAATATGTAATTAATAATAGACTAGGAAACTAGTTTTCTAGAAAAACAATATTAGGGATAATTATTTTATATATTATTATCATATATTATTATCATATATCATGACAAGTTTCAGAATAAATATATTACCTTTTGATGTAGCTTTAAATGCTGAAGATTTTTGGTCAGTATTATTAGTAGTTTTATTGAATACATTAGTAACTAATATAGCTGCTTTGGAAACCATAACATCAACATCAGCTGAAACTGAAGTATTAAAATCATCTAAAAACAAAACGAAAACATGATATTAAAACTAATCCAACAAAAATATATAGAATACTATATAAAACTTTTATATACCACTGGTATGCCTGACTTTTATTGGATATGTATGACTACTATGTGATATAGCTCGTGTTGTGACATCAACTCCATTCGAGACACTCATTAATGAATAAGATAAATAAATTAGTAGGGTCAGACCCACCAATCCAAACATCATCAATTGTACCAAGCGTGTTGATTGAACTGCCATAGCTGGAAAAGAAAGTTATTTGTAAGTGAAAAATTAAGGCAATGATTATTACATAAAAATTTTCATTTAAAACAAGTAAGGAAAAATAAAATCAGGCGGAACACTATATGGAGTGGTATGAAATTATTCAATTCCATTCAAGGCTTCCGAAAGAGATAAAGATGACCAAAGAAGAGAATAAATTTAAAATTAAATTAAGAAAATATTATAAAAAAAATCTAGATAAATAAATTACTTGAAAGTATGAATGTAACCATATTATATATATAATAATGACATGTATAAAATAAATATATACTATTGCATAGATATTTTGTACAATCTCTCATACCAGATACATCCATCTATCTGAGATGTACAAAATTTATATCATAATTCAAATAAAAAAAAATTGAACCAAATGATTCATAAAAACAGTGGTAAAAACATTATGAACCTATAATATTATCTTGATAGATTGAAGTAATAAAATTAACCAATTGAATTTAATATGTTTGCAATAAAAAATGCATAAGGTTTATGGAAAAGAAAATGTATTAAATAATGTAAGAAATTTATTATAAAATAAATCGAGATTTTTTTCTATTAAAAAAGTACTAAACTAATTATTAAATGAGCATAAGTACACCCATCGAATAAAACAGCTGAACTTAATTCTATACTTGCAATAAAACCAAGGTTTCTTAAAAATCTCAATGAAAGAAAATATACAAATAATTAATAAATAACCGTGAGGGTGTTTAATAATTAGTAAAAGGTGTTCTTTCAATGTCACACTAAATAGTGTTAAATTTATAATAAACAAAGTGGGATAATAAAATAAATCAACTGAGTTTATAACGAAGAAAGATATACAACTAACTAATAAATAATCATGTAAAGAGGTGTACTTTTCAGTAAACATATCTGTGTACTGAATAATAATACAATTATTATGGAAAAAGAGTGCTAATAAAATAAATCAACTGAATTTTTTATATAGTTGCAATACAACTAAGAATTAATAAGGTTTCTCAAAAAAATCTCAATAAAAGGTAACATACAAATAATTATTAAATGATCGTTAGTACACTCTTTCAATAAAAATACCTGTGCACTAAATAACAGTAAAATTATTATGGAAAAAAGAAGCTAATAAATATATCAATAGAAAAATATAGAGATGCAACACAACCAGGAATAAATAAGGTTTCTCAAAAACTCTATAAAAAGGAAATAGACAAATAGTTATTAAATGATAACTATTAGACAACAAACATACCCGTGTACTAAATAACAGTAAAATTATTATGAAACAAAAAAGGAGTGAATAAATAAATCAACTGAACTTAAATATAGAGATGCAACACAACTAGGAACAAATAAGGTTTCTCACAAAATCTCAATAAAAGGTAACAGACAAATAATTTTTGATTGACCGTTAGTACACTCTTTCAATAGAAATACCTGTGTACTAAGTAACAGTTAAATTCTCAATAAAAGGTAACGAGAAATAATTATTGATTGTCCGTTAGTACACTCTTTCAATAAAAAAAATCTGTGTACTAAATAACAGTAATATTATTATGAAAAAAAAGAGCTAAATAAGGTTTCTCATAAAATCTCAATAGAAGGTAATAGACAAATAATTATTAAATGATCGTTAGTACACTCTTTCAATAAACATACCTGTCGTACTATGAGTATTCTGTAGTTTGTATTCTTTCTGACATTGTCATTTTGTTGTACATTTTGAGTATTTTGAGTTACTTTAATTTAATATAATTACAAACTAAAATGTGAGTATTTTTACTTAAAATTAACTTATGGCACGTATATTTACAACCAGATCCTTTTGAGATTCATAATTACTCAATGAATATTGAATAAAGCTTACATTTTAAAAGTTACATTATGTTTAAATTTAAAAGAGAGCAACTGTTGTAATTTAAACAATTACATTATTATTTAATATCAAACATATCAATCATTGAGTCTTTTTACACGCGTATTTTGTTCTTAAAATATCAGTTATAAGATTGTCTTGCATGTTTGTAAATATATATCGATTTAATATCAAGCATAAATAATTCTTACTAATTTTCTTAATTAGGTCAACATGAGTATTTAATTTTTAGTTTAGAGTATTGTATTTAATACATATCTTATACAATAATAATGAATCCTGGTACATACGATATCTAAAGCAATTCAATCATCTGTCAAACATAATTGCAAAAGCCAAAAGTCGTGAATGTCGGTTTATAATATAATATGACGATTAACATCGTGCTTAAAACATAAAATATGATTAAACTAATAATAATTAATATCACAATCTCGTGCACAATCTCACTATTTATAAAGCTTATCACATTTTTTTATATTTGCGTATGCTGCGATTTCGCAAATACTATCAGCTGTCATTTGAGCATGGTGTTGCCAGAGGACAAAATAAATATCCGGGGGTAAGTGACATCTCTTGACGGTTTATGGAAACACGATTGAAGTTGGCAGCACTACGGTGCAAATCTATGAATTAAGCAAGAATGGTTCAAAAACTTAATAATACAAATGTAAAAAAGCTAGTGATGCATGGCATTGTGCCTTAAGGCAAGTTGCTGGAACTTTCCGTACCAAAAATTAAATGATTAAAACAAACTTTGCAAACTTTTGAAAAATTAGATTTTTGAGAAATTTTGAAATTTTTAAAAAAATCTGTCTTTTTTGAAAAATTAGATTTTTTTTATATTTCGATTTTTTTTTTGAAAATTTTGAAATTCGGAGTCGAAATATCAAAGCGCGTAAGCACCGCGTAGTCGTCTAACGTGTAAATATTGGTACGGAACCCATATAAATGTACACAAAATTTGTACTTATTATAATCTTTATAAAATATCTGATAATGCGATGTGCATATGTATAATGTTCATTTTAGACCGCAAAATGACATTATTTTTTGGATAATTGGAGACGTTGGACCTGCCTTTACAAAAATGTTACCAGTTTCAATTACAGTTTCAATTAATTTCAATACAAATAAGAAGTTTTTTGAATCATTCGAATCGGACGCTCTGTTCTCTCAAAAATTGAATTATCATTTTTGACACTTTTTGCACCGTATCTTCGAAACGGCTAAACCTGTCTTTGCTAAAAAATAATCAGCACGTCTCCCTATAAACAGGAATCGAATGTTTTTTGAATCATTGAAATCAGTTGATTCGTGTTCTCGAAATCGTCGACGAAAAATTGTATCCGTACATACATACACACATACATCATTTTTTTCTATGATATACCAAAATGTTCAGAAACCTTAGAAACGCAAAGATATATAAATCTTTTGTTAACTAGTTGTAAGAACACTTGATGGCAGTATGTTTTTAATAGCTCTTTTCATACTTATATAAGCTAATTGAAACAATTATATATATATGCAAACAATATTATATTATGATAGTATAATGATATTCCCAGAATAGGTGTATACAATTTGTATCTGTATGTAAAAATCAATGTATGTATTTAAGACAAATAAAGCAAATTTTCAAATTTTAAAAAAAAAGATATATAAAAATTTTCATTTTCGATTTTTTGTTGGGATTTTTTTCACAAAAAAATTTGGAGATTTTGAATTTTATTAATTTGATAGTACAAGTAATTAAATTTGTGATTGAGTTGCTTAATTCTTAACTTTAAGGTATCTTAAAATTCAATCTAGTTGGAAATGGCAACTTTGTACACTCAAACATACTTTTTCCAATTTTGGTCTCAAATAATAATTCACAATGACTTGAAACGTCAAGAAGACAAAATTATCAAATCGGACTTTCTGGCAAAAAAATAAAATTCTTTTTCGAGCAGTTAATAAAAAGCCTGTAGGCATTCTTACTTGTTTTCTAAGTTAACATATTTAGTCTTGAAATTAACAAAATCTAGTTTTGAGCTTTGTTATAATATTATGAATTTTCATATTAGCAATTAAAAGAGACTCATTCAAAAAGAATGAAATACTGTAATAAAAAACAACTAAATTAACATTTTGATATACAATTTTAGTAAAATCTTGAACCTTAATTTGGCTTCGGAGAAGTTCATAATTTATCTAGCTAATAACTATTCTGATTATTTTTGAGATACAATACGTTTCGGTTCCATTAATTAGCCCAATTATCAGTTTTTGGTTAATAATGAATGAAATTAATCAGATGATAATATAATATGAGAACAATTCGGTGAATGATGAAGAGATCATGACCTTCGCCTTGTTACCTTCAATACATTTATGCCATGGTTAATGAGACTGCTAAAGGTGAAGAATTCAAATTGTTTTCTTAAATGAGGTTTAACAAATCTTAATATATATATATATATATATATATATATACATCATGATTGTTTTTTTAAACTAAATCCTCATATTTTCAAAAAGTTATTTATTTAAATTTTTTAGTGTTTCTACATTTCGGGGATGTCCTCTTTTTTCACGTCACGTCAATGTTTTGTTTTTATAAAAATTGTTTAAATTATTTGAGTAAAAGTTATATTTAAAGGTAATATTTTATTTTTGTAACGATTTATTTTACGTATTTCTAGTTTATGTTCCCTGGCTCGTTTTTTAAATTTTTGTTTTATTTCACTAACGTATGATGCTGTGCAATCTTTACAATTGATTTTGCAAATCGTATAGTATTTTTTCATTCCTGTTGTAATTAATATTATATATTATAAAAAAAATTAAATAATATAAAAATCATATAAAATTAAATCATATTTGATCATATAAGTAAGAGTTATACTATTAATTTGTTTTGTATTGAAAATAGCAAATACATTTGGTATGTAAGAAATTTTTAGGTAAGTTTTTTTATATTATTTTTAATTTGCATGTCTATTTCTGTTTACTCTATTCAATTAACTGCAAGTAAAATCCATCGATCTACTGAATACAATATAGTGTTAATTTCATGCCTGTGATTTTTGTTTATAATGTTTATATATATATATATATATATATATATTATATATATATATATATATATATATATATATATAAAGAAATAATCATATAGAATTCGTTTGTTTGCAGACAAGTCTGTACGACAATTTTTTTCGTAATCAGAAACCCGACATTCATAATTTGGAATTATCAGTATTTCCTGTGACCAGTAATTTTTGGTTTTAAATAGATCATATTTTATCGGATGATTTTTTAGCATTCAATGTGGTTTATAAAAATTAATTTTGAAATAATTAATTTAACTTATACTTAATCACAACTTCCCTTTCGATCAAGACTGCGAATATATTCATATATACTCAAGTAAATAAAAATTTGCAGCTATGTGTTTTTAGGAAAATTTGATTTTTTGTGAATATTCATTGAGGGCTTATTGACTAGCTAACAGAAGTTTCTGCTTGATGTCAGGCAGCAGTGACATCGGATTTTATTTTGAAATATAGATAGCAATATGTTTCCAAGCGAAACAATTATTTACCCATCATTCCTTCATCAATAAAAAATTCAAAAGTATTACACAAATTGTAATAATAAATTTATCACAAAGAGATGAGACAACCGTTTGGGTTGCCATCTATAAAACCACGTCATTAAGAAAAAGTAATCACAACATCTTATAAAACATATAAAGTTCTGATTGCTGTTAAAAAATATATAAATAAAAATATTTTCAATTCAATGCAATTTTTTTTACTTCTCGATGGAGATATGCAATATATTTGTCAATGTGTCTGACCTAAAAGTGTGATAAGGTAGATAAATGTTATTTACCTTTGGAAGCATATATATATATATATATATATATATATATATATATATATATATATATATATATATATATAATTCTTATATATTAATATGTATATATATATACAAGTTAATCGATTGATATTCACTTTCATTTGTGAGTAAAAAAGAAAGTAGATTGTAGTGTGTAATATGATCGCTCTAAGTGCCTACACATTAATAATTTATTTAGAATTATTTGAACATTTTATTATATATACATAAAGAAAGAAATTCGATAATTTTTATCAATTTATATTACCATATATTATTTAACGTTTCTTATTTTTATTAACAGAAATCAAAACTATTTGTTGTTATATTTCAAAACTATTCAATGTACCGTAAAAAACTGGAATTAATTATAAACACAAACTGCATATTTGAATATAAAAATGAAGAATTTTTTATAGGAATTAACGTTAAATTGTAAATAAATTATATTGTTTATTTACGAAGTGAATTAATGCAAACATAATGGAAATATCTGAATTTCAATAATTTAAAGAGTGACGAAAATTTCGTCAGGAATTAAATTCATATGTATAATAACTCGTATATATATATATATATATATATATATATATATATATATATAATACAAAAAACTTTGTATCAGGAAACTATTTAGATTTTAGAAAGAAAACTCAAATTGTTTCCAAAAAAACAAAATTAATAGATTTTCATACGTTTCGAGCCCTTGTTTGACTCTTCTTCAGTGAATAAGACATATAAATTATTTCAAAAATACAGAAACCACATTCAATGCTTTTTGTATATTTTATGGTTTTCATATAATTTGTGTGTTTTCTTCTCTGAGAAAATATTATACCAGGACTTAGAATGTATGAAAGCATATTAAAATTTGTATGATTTTATTTTTTTAAACAAAAAGCCTTCTTTTTGCAATTTTTTTTTTATTTGCTGTCTGTTTATTTTTCATGGTATGTCCTGTTCTTCAGGAAAAAAAATTCATACCCTTAAATAAACACTCACTAAAACTTTTTATACCTTAAATAAAAATTATATTTAATAAAACTTTGAGTTATGAGGGTAGATGATTGAGTGTATATTGATCAATTATTTTAGATCAGAAAAATAAAATCATA